CACTGTGAATTTTTTTTCCTGAACAGCATGGTGATTTTGATTCCTGAAACTTCTCTGACAAATAACACACTCATAGGGTTTCTGCCTAGTGTGGGATCTTTCATGAAAGGCCAGACCACCTCGTTGACTAAAGCTCTTCTCACACTCCTTGCACTGATAGGGCTTCTCTCCTGTGATTACTTTTGGCCCTGAAGCTTTTGCCACAGTGGGTACACTCAAAAAGGGCTTTGACCAGGGTGGATTCTCTCATGCAAGGTTAGACCACCTCCTCTGTGCCAGAAGGATTCTCTACATTCCTGACCCTCATAGACCCTCTGTCTCACTCCTGGTGAATGAATCTTTCCTGTAGTGTCTTAGATCTCAGGGTTTTTGTTTCAGCTTCTCTCTTCTTGAAGAATTCTGGAAATCGTAGCTTGAGGATCCTGTGGAATCAGAGTGATCATATTTGTGGTGAGGGCTTCTGTCACCACATTGAAAAATGCTACATTCTGGATACTATCTTCCATGACAGTCCAGCAGGGTAGCTGTTGGAAATCCAAACATGTCCATGCCTGCTGAATGTCCTTAATCACCACCTGTTCATGTGATTCTTCCACGGGCTGTCCTTAAACACCACAATGGCCTGCACCAGCAGACAGACGAAGGCTGGTGCCGAGCCCACAGCAGCACCCACCTATTTGTGTTATATATATATTTTAATATTATTCTTGAGAGACCGAGCATGAGCAGGGAAGGAGCAGAGAGAGAGGGAGGCACAGAATCTGAAGCAGGCTCCGGGCTCTGAACTGTCTGTCAGCACAGAGCCCTACGTGGGGCTAGAACTTAGAAACCATGAGATCATGACCAAAGCTGAAGTTTGATGCTTAACTAATTGAGCCATCCAGACACCCCTGTGGCATTTAAAAACAAAAAAATAAAGCTTCTGAATGAAGCCTGTGGTTTGCTTGGATTATTTACTGATCACAGCCTGTGAGACCCCTCTTGGAAAAACGATGGTCATGACAGTAACTTAGACTCATGCCCAAAGAATTCAGCAGGCTGTCTGATGATATTGTATCATCTTTCATGACCTGTGTCCTGTTCATGTGATGCTGGGTAGACACAGCTCTGAGTGATGTGATCTAGGAGGGTGGAGAACACTGAGGTCAGCTTTATGTAGGTGACTATTTGTAGATTCCATGAATACCAGTAAGAGTATTAAAAAGTCAAAGTGCCAGATCTAGCACTAGTAATCCCGTGAGCATGGGCAGACTCACTACTAGCATCTGTTAGAGCCCTACACTGTCAGACACTGCTCTAAGCAATTTTATGTGAATTATTTTACTTCATCCTCACAAGAACTCTAAAATTATCACCATTTCACTTATGAGGAAACATATTTAGAAATTAAGCAACCTGGCTAGTTACTAGAGCTGGCATTTGAATTTGTCCAACTTCAGAGCTGATGCTCTTTCAGCATATTTCTTCCTTTACTTGCATCTGAGACATTACATTCAGCCTCAGCCATGGGAGATCTTTTTCCTTGGGCTGGTTTATGTGGAAAAATGGCCTTTTCTATGTAGGTTCCAGTGGAGAAAGTCACCTTTTATTTATCCAGCAAATGCTTTTTGAGTGTCTGCCATGTTGTGCTGGGCATTGCAGGCTGCAGCGCCAGACACCATAGGACTCCTCCTGTGGAGTTTTCTCCATCTCTGTCTTGCCTCAGTGACACCTGTCATGACATTAGGACACTTCTCTAATGTCCTGGTGCTGCCTGCCCTCTGTCACCTTTCACATGTCCTTCCTGCCCTTTAAGGCCTGAAGTTCCTTAAACTATCTCCCTTGGTTCCTTAAATCAGTTTCACAAAAAGTTTCCCTTTCAGAGAAGTACATAGGCTTGGAGGAGCACCTGGGTAGCTTAGTCAGTTGAGCGTCTGACTCTTGATTTTGGCTCAGGTCATGATCTCACAGTTTGTGGGTTTGAGCCCTGCATCGGGCTCTGTGCTGACAGCTAGCTCAGAGTCTGGACCCTGTTTCAGATTCTGTATCTCCCTCTCTCTCTCTGACCCTCCCCTGCTCACACTGTCTCTCTCTCTCTCAGAAATGAATAAAAAACATTAAAACAAATTTAAAAAGTACATAGGCTTGAGGCTTTAACATTTTTCCATCTTCAACAAAGGGTTAAACAAAGCTGGGAGGAAAAAAATCTGCCATCCCAAACTCATAGAAAACCATGTGCAGAGAAAATTTGAAACAAATGCCTTTAGTCTTAAAAAGCAAGACAAAAAATAAACGTAGTATTGATCTTAAGAAACTAGAAAGGAGGGGCACCTGGCTGGCTTAGTTGGTAGAGCATGTGACTCTTGATCTCTGGGTTGTGAGTTCAAGCTCACATGTTGGGCCCATGTTGGGCCTAGAGCTTACTTTAAAAAAAATAAAAAATAATAGGGGCACCTGAGTGGCTCAGTCAGTTAAGCATCTGACTTTGGCTCAGGTCATGATGTCACATTTGGTGATTCAAGCCCTGTGTTGGTCTCCGTGCTGACAGCTCAGAGCCTGGAGCTGCTTCAGATTCTGTGTCTCCCTCCCTCTCTGCCCCTTGCCTGTTCACACTCTGTCTCTCTCAAAAATAAACATTTAAAACATAATAAAAATAAAATAAGAAACTAACAAGGAAGTAACAATAAACCAAAAGGAAGTAGGAAAAAGGAAATGGTAAAGATAAAAATGTGAATTCAAGGGGCACCTGGGTGGCTCAGTCGGTTAAGCATCTGACTTCGGCTCAGGTCATGATCTCATGGTTCGTGGGTTCGATCCACGTGTCAGGCTCTGTGCTGACAGCCAGCTCAGACTGGAGCCTGTTTCGGATTCTGTATCTCCCTCTCTCTCTGACTCCCCTGCTCACGCTCTCTCTCACGCTCTCTCTCTCTCTCTTTCTCTCTCTCTCTCAGAAATAAATAAAAACATTAAAAAAATTTTTTTAAAAATGTGAATTCAAGAGAACAGAATATCAAAAAAGAAAAGAGGGAAAAAAAAACCTAAAAGCTGGTTCCTTTTTAAGATTGATAAAATAAATTACCATCCCAAGTTAACGGAGCTTGTTTTAGACTTAGTCAAAATTATTTTTAAATGTATTAAATTAATTAGACCTACTTAACTATCAGGAGAGGCTGATTGAAAAAACTGGAACACATCTACACAGTAGAATGGCTGCAGCTGCAAACAGAAGGAAGGTCTGTGTGTTCTTAAAGGTGCAGCACAGTGCGTGTAAAATTAGCCTTTGTGTAAAAATAAAAGGGAGGAAAAAGAACGGACATTAACATTTTCTTTCATCTAGAAGTACAAATGCCAGGAGGAAGGAGACATTGCTAATCAGTAACCATGCTTCCCTGTGTGGTGGGAGTGGGCCAGGTGTGGAGAGGAGTTCAGTGAGGGAGACTCTTTCCTCCTTGCGTATTTCTTTCTTTTTTTTAATGTTTATTTTTGAGAGAGGGGGGGGGTGGGGGAGGGGCAGAGAGAGAGGAAGGTGGAGAATCCAAAACAGGTTCTTCACTTCTAAAACTGCTCTAAAAAAAAAAAAAAGTTTGATGTAGGGATTGAACTCACGAACCATGAAATCATGACCTGAGTCGAAGTCGGACATTTAATCACCTGAGCCACCTAGGCGCCCCCATGCATATTTCTTTTAGAATTTTTGGAACCGTGAGAATGCACTGGTTATTCAGTAATTAATATAAGTTCATTATGTATAAAGGGTTTTGTGTTTTTTTCCAATAAGAAAAGGTGAACATTCCAAACAAAACGTGAGGGAGGTGCCTATCGTGGTACCTCTGTGCTGTGGGACCCTGGCCCGCTGTGGTGTGGTGGTGGTGGGGGGCTGTCTTGGGTGTTGGGAATACAGGAAGGGTGGTAAGGGAAACCAGCACTGGCAGATAGGACACAGGTTGTAAAGCAGCAGTAATTGTAATGCTGTGGCAGCAGCATAAATCTTGAACTTTCAAAGCTGTAGAAAGACTCACGCACATCAGTGTGTTCTTGTGTGCCCAAAAGGAGTCTTTGAAATAGAAAAGTGATAGCAAAGAAAGAAGAATTCATAAATGGTGGTGGGTAATTTTGGAAATAATGTTCACATAGTACATCAAACAGCAGCTGGGACGGAGTTACACATTAAAGAAGACTGACAGCTTTGAACAGTTCATGTCAAATAAAATGCGAAGAACAGTAATCTTAATAGTCATGAGAAAACAGAGAGCTTCATAGTGGAAAATATCTGTAGAGTTAAATTATTTTGAAGAATTCATGGTTTCATGCAACATACACTTAGACCAAAAGCAAATGTGTATAAATGTGTATTTGTCCTTAATATGTATGTATATTGCTTTCCGTGGATAAAGATGTAAAGGAAGTATGAGAATATAGACACAGCAACTGTCAGAGTGTAGGAGTATAGATGAATTTTGTTTTCCTTTAATGACGTGCCAGTTTTATTTTTGTAGCAAATACTTATTTTTTTAGTGTTTATTTTTGAGAGCATGTGAGTGGGGGGGGAGGGGCAGAGAGAGGGGGACAGAGGATCCGAAGTGGGCTTTGTGCTGACAGCCGAGATCCTGATGTGGGGCTCAAACCCACGAGCCATGAGATCATGACCTGAGCCGAAGTCAGTTGCTCAACCAACTCAGCCACCCAGGCTCCCGCAAATTCTTAATTTGGAAAAAGGGAAATCTCTCTGGAATAATAAAGTATTTCTAATGAAGGGATGAATTAATTTGGAGGAGAGCCCAACGACTACATATACTTAGGCTTTTTCATTACTGGAACATATCAGATCACTCTGGTAATGTAAGTCACTCAGGTAAACTGCCAGTCTTTGGAGAAAGCTCTTTAAAAGGTGAAGAGAAGGCAAAGAGAAGAAGCTGTCAAGGGTAATGGTGGAGAGTCCTGTCCTTAATTATCAGTTGCAACTGCACAGGATGAAGCTATGGAATTCTGTTCATCTCTATTTTTACATTCTTTTTTTCCAGGTTGGTGGCACCAAGGCTGGCGTAGTCCGGTTTCTTGGGGAGACAGACTTTGCCAAGGGGGAATGGTGTGGTGTGGAGTTGGATGAGCCTCTTGGGAAGAACGATGGGGCTGTTGCTGGAACCAGGTTTGTTTGGAGCTGGAATCTTGTCTCCCTCTTGCAGTACATGCACTCAGGCAGATCTCACCAAGAGCTGCACTTTTACTTCCTAAGATTCACTGATGTTTTCCCCCACCAGAACGGGAGATACTCCTTTGACTGTCTCTTTTAGTAATATGTAATGCATCTATGTAGACTCTGAACAAGCATTCAATTTATTATTATTTTTTTTTACAGCAGTTTTAGTTTCATAGCAAAATTGAGAGGAATGTGCAGAGTTCCCATATGTCCCCTGCTCCGACGTGCACAGCCTCCCCAACTATCGGCATCCTGCACTACATGGTAGATTTGCTACAGCTGATGAACCTAGATTGACACATCATAGCTTGAACCCCGTTCAAACTGTTACCCGTTTATCGTATAGTAGATCTGTTTATTCCCTTTGTACTTTAGTAGATCTTTGGTAAGAGACCAGTAATTCTGTCTCTGTGTATCATATTGTTATTTATTAGTATGTTTTTTAAAACATCATGGAGGTTATCAGCCTACCTACATGTGAACGCTACATGCTGGTTGATCGGCTTACTGGTAGAATTCACAGCAAACCAGTCATGAGTTATAACCAAAAAACTATGCTTTCTTGTAGTTATTTCTTGTAATTAAGTTGTTGTTGTTTTTTGTTTTTGGTCACTGCTTTTATTGTTATTCTCTAAAGGTATTTTCAGTGCCAGCCCAAATATGGCTTGTTTGCTCCTGTCCACAAAGTAACCAAGATTGGCTTCCCTTCCACGACACCTGCCAAAGCCAAGGCTGCTGCTGTGAGGCGAGTGATGGCAACCACACCTGCCAGCCTGAAGCGCAGCCCTTCTGCCTCGTCTCTCAGCTCCATGAGCTCAGTGGCCTCCTCCGTGAGCAGCAAGCCCAGCCGGACTGGATTAGTAAGCCTCCCCACCCTCACTGCATGCCTCTCCCTTCCAGGCACGATGAATGCCTGCTGCTGGTGGACCTGCTTTGCTTTAGGAGCTATTAACTTGCCTTGTACTGAGTGTTAGTTGTAGCTTGTTGGAGGTCCATTCCAGATGTGATAAAGGAAAGCTTTAGCAAGAAGACAGATTTTGAAGTAGAGTTTTGAACTCTGCTCTCAGGTTCTTAAGGCTGTAAGATGTACCTATTTCTTGGTGAGTCTGTAGTAACTACTGTTGAATCTAACATGGGTGCTTTTCTCTGAAATTATTTTGGGCACAAGAATGACAGGAAAACGGGAGGGATCGTTTTCCTCAACCACTTAGGTCTCTGACTTGAAACAATTTGAGGAACTAAAGTATTTTGAGAGAAGTCCATGTTCTTAGAATTTAGGTAGTATATTAATACAGTCTAACCTACCGAGAGCGGTTAGTGTGTGGGGTGTTCCTGTCTTGCGCCAGAGGACACAGGGCGGAACTAACAACTTGCAAAGATGCTGGGATGTGCCATGCTGTGTCTCCTTTCTCCATCTCTTCCTCTCCCTTCTGCTTCCTCTCTCCCTCCTTTCCCCATTAGATCAGTAAAAATAGAATGATCAGAACTAAAATAGGCAGTGGTGGCTCATTCTGTTTGTTAATACAGTGTTTTATTAGGATCAGAACAATGACTTCTTGGCTCATCTCCTGCCAGTAAACTTATTTACTCCAAGTGAGGCACATACTGTTTAGATTTGTCTCTGTGTTATGACCATAAACTACAGACAGGAGGAGAATGCTAAGTGGTGTGATCGGGAGTAAGGCTGCTGGCCCGTGGTCTCCTTTTGCCATCTCTTCCATGGTTCTCTGTCCTTGGGAAGAGAAAGGGGGAGGATTTTTTCCTTCTAGTGCAGGGTCGGGGTGGAGTGCTCCTCTGCTGGCCAGCTGGACTTTCTTTCTCTTAAATTCAGGTAAAATAAACATCTGCTTGGACTATTTCATAGTTTGCATATGAAAAGAAAGTCTACATCTTTAACAGAAAAGTTACGAATGGACTTTTACAAGAAAAGCTTGTTAAGAGCAATGACATAGAGGTGAAGCCACCCCTCTTTGGACAAAGCATCATTCAGCAAACTCAAATGGACATCTAGTCTACTTTGCTAATCCAGGAACAAGTCTGTGGAAGTGTCTTCTGTAGATTAGGAATTCTTTCTTGAGTAACTTTTATTACGTTGTAATTGTATGTGTCTATTTCTTTGGAAGACAACCAAGCTCTCCCTGCTCTCCCCTAAACTCTCCTCTTTTCAGACGAGTTCTGATCGTCTTAGTTCACCTCACTCAGTGAAGAGAAGTGAGAAAAGAGAAAGGAATCTTCTTATCTTGTAAAACAGCTTGTTTTTGTATATCTTTATAGAGGTGGCTGTAGTTTCTAAACCAAAAATCACCGTAAAAGAATATGCCAAAAATACAGAAAAAGTGACTTTCTAGAAATATATCTCCCCAGCATAATCCCATGCATATGTATGGAAAGGTCTAACGATTTCTTGACTGCAGTATAGTCTTCCAGAAGTACTGAGCACAGAGATGCCCAAACGCTCTGATTTCTCAGCCCCTTACGTGTCATTTTTTCATAGGGCCCCAGGGTGGGAAGAAATAGCTAGCAGTTCTGTTTATGAAGCAACTAAGTCCAAACAAGTTAATATCTATGTTCTAGCAAGTTAGTAGTTGTTCAAAAAGAATGATACACGTTGAGAGAAAAAAAGTGTTTTTAGCTAATTCTTAAATAATCATGCTTACTGTTAGGTTGTACGTTTCTGTTGGGCACTGCGCATGCATGTCAAACCCCGGAGTCTACTGAACACTGCCACCCTCCTTTCCTGTGACACCGTGATTTTTTGCACAGTACTAGCTTTTCGTCAGTGGCAGCAGCCAAGGCCTCGCTTTGGAGAGAAATGTTATCAAAAGGAATGTAGTCCATTTGCCTCAAACTCCGTTGCCCCAAGCTGGTAGTTTTCATGGTGTCCAACAGTTGTTGAATTTCAAATTTCCCTTGAAATTTGAAAATCTTTCCCATTGCTCGGTGATTTGGCTCAGCACCCTGGGTTATCTCTGCGCAGGGAACCTCAGAGTTAGTGTATCCAGGAAGAAACGTTAGTATAAGAAAGTATAATTTGAACCATGTAATGAAATTGAAGAGTCAAGGTCAGATGGTTAAAAGAACATTCCCCCCTGCTCCAATATGTTTAAGTAATTCAAGAAATTTCACGAAGGAGAAACAGCAGAAATAGAAACTCTAAGAGTAAAGGAATCCAATCAAGCCCAAAATTGTCTATTAGTGACAGATCCCCTCTCTGTCTGCCTCCTGGATGAGGGCTCACATAGACTCATGAAGAGCAAATGAGGCTTTGATAACAGGAGATGAAGTCAGGGCCAACTTGATTCAGATGCAGCGATCTGATCTCTAAGTCAAAGGCCCTGGACAATACTTGCCAAGGGATGAGGCCTTTCCTGAACTCCCTCCCAGCCCCTGGAGCCTCACTTGGAAGAATGCTGTTTAACTTGCCCACATTATCCGTTACCATAATAGGAGGTTGTTTTCTCTGTGTTTTTAGATTAGCCTCAGCATGGGAAACAGCACAGAGTAACAGAGGACCCCGGCAGCTTTCTTTCTTCACCCCTTCCCCACTGCCTTTCTGCTCCCCCTTATTTCTCAACTCCTCCTGCTTCCCTCTCTGCTCCCCCTTTCCCCTCCATCCCCTCCTCTTTCTCCACAGATTCTCTTTCCCTGTTTTTCCTCTCTCTGCATGTCCTCTCCCTCTCCCCCTCCCCCTCCCCCTCTCATATGCGTGGACTGGCCCACACACAGGCACTTTTGAAGGTGGATAGAGTTTTCCTCTTCATCTGATTTTCGTAAATCTCTCTGGTGATTGGGATTCAGGTCTTCAAATTCTGGATTCCTGGGTGAGATCTCCTCTGCCTTTCATTTGTTTAAAAAAGCTTTTATTTAAATTAATAAATTTCATTAATTAAAATTAATTAAAGTAATTTTAGGTGTACAGTTTAGTGATTCAACACTTCATACAACACCCGGTGCTCCTCACAAGTTCCTGCCTTAATCCCCACCACATCACCTGTTTCCCCCATCCCCCCTCCTGTCCCCCTGGTAACCATCAGTTTGTTCTCTTAAGAGTCTGTTTCTTGGTTTGTCTCTCTTTTTCTTCCCTTTGCTCGTTTGTTTTGTTTCTTAAATTCCACATATGAGTGAAATCATATGGTATGTCTTTCTCTGACTTATTTCTCTTAGCATTATACTCTCTAGATCCATCCACATTGTTGCAAATGGCAGGATTTCATTCTTTTTTTGTCTGTGCCTTTCATTTTGAAAGAAAGATGAAGAAAATCCTGACAAAAATCCAGCCATTTAATCAATAAGAGGACCGTTTTTGGCTCCAAGGATGACCTCTTGGTTGGTAGTTAGAAAAAGTTGAAAAAAAGTCTCGACCTCAAGTCTGAGGAGCGAAAGACTGACCAAAACGTCATAAGAAGACGATACCTACTAATGAAGCTCAGGTGGAAATGGGAGCTTCTTAAATGGGTTTGTGGAGTTTTTCTAGATTCCTATAAGGCCCTGTCAGCTGAGCTCAGGGTACCTTTGATTTGAGCCACTTATTCTCGTTCTAAACATCTTTCTGATTGTTCCATGACCTCTTACATTGGTGTGTTGTTTGTGAAATTTTCAGTCAGGAGGCACATGCTGTCTTGCTTCCTTGATGAAAAGCTTTTCCTAATAATTGGCAAGCTTGGGAGCAGGGGCAGCACCTTCGCTTCGCTGAGGAGATGCCTGCCATGCATGCCTCGCGCCCTCCTTGCATCCCAGATAGCATCATCGCCCTTCACTTCTTTAACTTTCCTTTGCAGTTGACTGAAACCTCCTCCCGTTACGCCAGGAAGATCTCCGGCACCACTGCCCTCCAGGAGGCCCTGAAGGAGAAGCAGCAGCACATTGAGCAGCTGCTGGCTGAACGGGATCTAGAGAGGGCGGAGGTGGCCAAGGCCACAAGCCACGTGGGGGAAATAGAGCAGGAGCTAGCTCTGGCCCGGGACGGACACGACCAGGTGAAGTCTGGTGCTGACCTTGTTTCGGAGATGGTGATGGGTTCTAAGCTGAGCTTGTGGAGATGGTGGTGCTTTCTAAGTTGAGGGAGGAGGCTGAGCAGCGGACCTGGTGCTTGGAACCAGGGAGCTAGTCTTGGGAGCACTGGAAATACGTAGAAATGTCTTTGCTAGGCTTGTTTGAAGCTGTGACCTGGGGTACCACTTTGTGTCATCATAAAGACGCAGTATTGTTCTTCTTGAGTCTACTCTAGTCCTTCGGTCTTTACATCCAGGTCCCGTGGCCTGTGTCAGGGGAAGCTTGTTTACCAGGACCTCACCAAAGATTTCAACTCCTGTTTTGTAGATTACCTTTTGTATGCGTGTCAGCTGTAAAAAGATGAGCGTTGTTTTACCATTGCCCTCTTTTGCTTTAATGGTGTGGTTTTTCATCATCTAGTTTCCAGGAATGCGGCCGAGAAGTAACCTATTAAAGATTATAGGAAACATTTCACTGTGAAAAGGTTTTAGAGTCACGGCAACCCATAATGGTACCACTTAGCTGTAGCTCTTTGGAGGCATCCCTGGGCCTGTGTCTGGGTCTGAGGGAGGCCACTCACTGACACCCTTGCCTTCCTCAGCATGTTCTGGAATTGGAGGCCAAGATGGACCAGCTGCGAACAATGGTGGAGGCTGCTGACAGGGAGAAGGTGGAGCTTCTCAACCAACTTGAGGAGGAGAAAAGGTGACCTCAAACTGTTCCTTAGTGCAAGCGTGGCCTTTTCCTTCTAAATGACCTTAGGAAAACATTCTTAATAAGGTGTCAACCCTTAGAACCAAAGGAATGACTGTGTGTTCAGTAGAAATTCAACTCTTCCTACTATGCTGGGAGGGTTTGCTTTGATTTGACTTTTTTTTGAGAAGTTTGGAATTATCTAGATATGGCCTGCTTAATTTAAAAGCTGTTTATTGAGCACCTACTGTGTGCCAAGCATCCTCTTGAGGATGTCCTTAGTGTCGTGAAGTCGATTCAGACCCTGGTTCCTCCTGGAACCATTTTTGGTGAGAAGACATTGTGGGTCTGTGTTACCTAGCGTGTATGTGTATTTTTATTTTAAATGTGTGTTTATTTTTGAGGGGGGAGGGGCAGAGAAGTGGGGACAGAGGATCTGAAGTGGGCTCCACACTGACAGCAGTGAGCCCAATGCCGAGCTTGAACCCATGAACCACAAGATCATGACCTGAGCTGAAGTCGGACTCTCAACCAACTGAGCCCCCCAAGTTACCAAGTATTTATGAAACACCTTCAATGTATCTAAATAAAACTCGTCTGTCTGGTAAATGATCTAGAGCCCTGTCCTTGAGAAACCCAGTGCCTTGTTAGGAAAACAAAACTTCCATGTAAAGCACTTAGAGGATTATCCAGGTCAGGATGGAATCAGATGCTAAATGGTGTGAGACAGAGAAAGCAAGTTTGGTTCTTGAAGGTTCTTGAGGCTGTGAACTAACAGTTTCTGAAACAAGGTTTCTGCATGGAAACCATTGGAACATTCCTGGACAACAGGATATTTGTCCTGTCTTGCATTTAATGTCACCATCTTGTCATTTCTCATGGCAGCAACTTAATTCAGTAGCCATCTGGTCTGTATGTTCAGGACGGTCTGAGGCACCGCTGAGGTCGGGGATACGGTGGCAATATAATACAGTCTCTTACCAAGAGAATTATCTTCTCACAAGAAGGAGAAACACTATACATAGGAAATTTTCTTCACATCCTAAAAATGGCTACAAATAAATGAAATAGAGTAACAGGCCTTTCTAGGCCCTTCTGAATACCAAGGCACCAGTACCATTTGCTTTGGTTCTTAAACCAGCTCTTGATCTGCTGACTGCTGGGCAGGGCAAATGTCCTCACATTCTCCCAGTGAGCTTGAGGGGTGTCAGCTGCGATTGTATTTCTGATTTAACAGAGTAGAATTTTTATTTAAAAAATTTTTTTTAATGTTTATTTATTTGAGAGAGAGAATGCATGTGTGAGCAGGGGCAGGACAGAGGGAGGGAGGGAGAAGGGTCCTAAGCAGACTCTGCACTGACAGTGGGGCTTGAACTCAAAAACCATGAAGTCATGACTTGAGCCAAAATGAAGGGTCGGATGCTTAACTGACTGACACCCAGTTGCCCTGATTTTTTTATTCTTAATTTTGCCAGCAAGGCTAGTGAGTTGCATAGTTTCGGTTTTTGCAGCTAGGTTATGAACTTTGTCCCCTTTTCTTCCTTATACTCAATTTTGTGAAGATTTGTAATATGGATGTTACCTGGATATTGTCAGTCTTCAGGATGTCCTATTTCACTGACTTGGTCACAGCATTGGTTGAAACCCACACCCAAATTAGAGATTTTAAAAGGTAGGGGAAAGGGGCGCCTGGGTGGCTTAGTCGGTTAAGCGTCCGACTTTCACTTGGGTCATGATCTCTCGGTTCATGGGTTCGAGCCCCGCGTCGGGCTCTGTGCTGACTGCCAGCTCAGAGCCTGGAGCCTATTTCAGAGTCTGTATCTCCCTCTCTCTCTGACCCTCCCCTGCTCACGCTGTCTCTCTCTCCTAGAAATAAATAAATTAAAAAAAAAAAATGGACTTGGCTCCAAAGGCACTGGTAATAGTCCATTTTAAAAGGTAGGGGAAAAATGTAACTGAGATTCTCAAATTGTTAATAATCTCATTCTCCCAGTCTTAGAACAGGAACTAGTATTGTTCTGGGGCTTTCTGTGTGGGTAGCCCGCTAAGCTAACCTCACCATAAAATATCAGATGTGGGGTGGTATAAAAAGAGATTCCTTCCCTTCCCTTCCCTTCCCCTCCCCTCCCCTTCCCCTCCCTTCTGCAAGTGAGCGAGGGGCAGATAGAATCCCACAGGGTTAGAGAGAAAGAGAAAGTGGAGTTCACCCAGGACTCATGTTTTACCCAAAGTGGAGGTTGGGGTTCATGCTTACCTAAATCAGGGCTCACGGACTATGAGATCATGACCTGAGCTGAGATGTTTAATGACCAAGCACCCAGGAGCCCCAAGAGAGATTTGTTTTCTGTGCCACTTCCCCCTATATTCTGTTATTGGAAAGTAGAACTTACACACTTGAGAGGTGCCTGGGTGGCTTAGTCAGTTAAGTATCCAGCTTCAGCTCTGGTCATGATCTCTTGGTTCATGAGTTCCAGCCCCACACTGGGCTCTGTGCTTTCCAGCTCAGAGCCTGGAGCCTGCTTCGGATTCTGTGTCTCCCTCTCTCTCTGCTCCTCTCCCACTTGCACTCTCTCAAAAATGAATAAACATTAAAAAAAATTTTTAAAAGAAAAAAGAAATTACAGACTTGAAATCTCAAACCTATTCCTGTGGTAATCAGACCTTTTCCCTTTAGGCTGATCTTGTCTTGATTAGTTTCATTGTGGTGGTTGTGACAGAAGAAAACCAGTTGATTTCTCTCACCTCTTACCTCATGCCTCCTGGAATCAGCATCTGGCTAAAACTTTGAAGTTTCCTAAATAACAAAGAGCTGTTAGATTTATAAACTAGGTGCCTAAAAATAGATTTCTTTCTTTTCTTCCACCATCATCTGTTACATTCACCAGGGCACTGATTATAGATTCTTGCTCTGGTAAGCCAAAGATATTCCTTGGTTACTGAAGTGCTTTGTTTTGATTTTGTTCCACAGGAAGGTTGAGGACCTTCAGTTCCGGGTTGAGGAAGAATCCATCACGAAAGGCGATCTTGAGGTAAAATCCCTCCAGCTCTCTACAGCTTGTTTGGGTACCGGTACTGACGAGTACAAGTACGGTCCTGCCCGAGCAGGCAGCAGAGGAAATGGAAGGAGCCCCGGCTCTGGGCGGCCGGGCTGTGGGCCTGGCTTGCAGCTCAGGTGCCAGGCCGTCCTTGTCCTGTGATGGTGCTGTCCCAACTCCAGTGGCCCAGTCAGATTTTTACTACTGTTTCCTCATGCTTCAAAATCCAAAATCCTGAAGTGGAGTTAATCAAGTCATAAATCTAGCAGTGTGTCCAGGTGAGACTCTAGATGTGCCTCTGATGATCAGAAATGGCATTAAAAAAAATTTTTTTTAATGTTTTAAAATTTATTTCTGAGAGAGAGAGAGAGAGTGAGCAAGCGAGCGCAATGGAGGGTCAGAGAGAGAGGGAGACACAGAATCGGAAACAGGCTCCAGGCTCTGAGCTGTCAGCACAGAGCCCGACATGGGGCTCGAACCCACGAACCACGAGATCATAACCTGAGCTGAGGTCGGATGCTCAACCGACTGAGCCACACAGGCGCCCCCGAAATGGCATTTTCTTTTTTTCTTTTTCTTTTTTTTTTTTTAATGTTTTATTTATTTCTAGGAGAGAGAGAGAGAGAGAGAGAGACAGCGTGAGCAGGGGAGGGTCAGAGAGAGAGGGAGTCACAGACTGAAACAGGCTCCAGGCTCTGAGCTGGCAGTCAGCACAGAGCCCGATGCGGGGCTCGAACCCACGAACTGCGAGATCATGACCTAAGCGAAAGTCGGACGCTTAACCAACTAAGCCACCCAAGAAATGGCATTTTAAAAGGCATTTTTAACCTCATCATAATAGTGCAAACCAAAGCTTTTTGCTTTATCTCAGTTTTGCTTTTCAAGTAAGCAGGATAAATTTTTCATTACCCTGTAAAAGGAATAAATGTATGTTTTAGTAATTGTTTTTTTTTTTTAAAGTAATTACCAGAGGATGAAACAAGATCAATTTGTATTTCAGCCTCTCTGACTTCTATGGCATAGTTTAAATTCACTTTTTTTTTTTTTTTTTTTTTTTTTTTTTAATTTAAAAAGGCAAGTTTATTGAGACAGAATGCAGTTCAATTCACTTTTATAGTTGCATGACTTTTGATGAAGGTGTAGGATTCCCAGAGGAGCCCTATAACCCCCTATAGTCAGTCTCCTTCTCCACCCCAGGGTCCTGGTGCACAGTTTAAATTCACTTTTATATAAACTTAATTTATAAATTCACTTTTAAATAAACTTAAGAGATTATCTTTAACATCAAGTTTCTCATCTTTTAACAATTATTCATACTTTTTAATTAGATGCCAGAATTAATTGATTTTGATGCTTTTTAAACCACTGCTAGATATATGACAAATACAGATTGTTAAATTATTTAAATTCTGCAGATTTTTGGTATTGAATCAGCAGTATTTTAGTAAAAATTGCACTTGCCTGTGCAGCTTCAGAATACACATTTTTATTAAGCGTATACATTACATTTTGTTAAGAATATACATTATAAGAGTCTATCAATGGCCACACCATGCCTACGTTTCAGGGGCTCTTCCAAATAGGAACTCTGATTCCTTTGGAAATTGTCTTTACAGTCAACAACAGAGAGTAAGGAAAACATTTTCTGAGTTCTAGTTTTATAAGGCCCAGAATTTAATCGATTATTAATAATTCAATAGTTACCTTCTTTACTCATTTCATATACAGTCACATTCCTTTAGTTAACTTTCGTGTTGTTTTCATCCATTTAAAAACACCCCAAAGTCTCATATCATCATCTGATTCATGGGGAACACTGCCCAGTGTTTGCGCAAGTTAAAATCTTTCCATCACCACTGGGTTGGTGTAGTCTGTCTGATAAACTCACTTGAAATTAATCAGAGTTATATTGAAACCCTAACACATATGGAAACTTTAGTGGAATCTCTCCTTGTGTTGTTGCTTAATTCTTTTATTTTTTTTACTGATAGCAAAAGAGCCAGATTTCTGAAGATCCTGAGAATGTAAGAGGGCACTTAACTGTGTGGAAATTTCCCTTGTTAACACAGATTGATGACAGATTAAAATGCTTATTGATATACTCAAATACTAACTGTGTAATCTGACCTGAGACATTGACCTTAATATTTCTGTGCATGTGGCTTTCACAGCAGTTACGTTTGTATCCTGAAGAAATTGTATGTAATGACTAAGCTCTATAAATCCATGTATTTAATGCATAAGCAAATGTTTGCTTATAAATTTTGCCAAAAAAAAAAAAGATTTTATCTGGGTGCCTGGCCTTCTCTTAATTCATAATGTCTTCTAATTTTAATAAAATTATTCCAAAAGAAATGATAGCTAAAAGAAACATAAAACACATTAGCTGAAGGGATTACAGAAATTCTTCGGGAAAGTTTCCCCAAGTGGTCTAATGTTATTCCAAAGAGAGCAGAACATTGAGTGCCGGAACGGATTGCCTTTTTCTGAGCTCCCACTGCTGGCCAATGCCTGCCAGTGCAGGTGACAAATTCAAGCCTCTGCTTGTTGGCTGCAGTATTTTCCCTAGTTGGTGAAAGTAGAGAGGCGCATTCTTCAGTGAAGACACTATGTGCTTTAAATTTGTTATTACTGAAATCAGATTTTTCTAGTAGCAGTGCTACCGGGCTTGTAGGTATTTTTTTTCTTCCTCCCTCTGATTAAAATCAAACACCCAGCTCACATCTCACTAAATGGCCTTGAAAGCGCCCTGTGAGCTGTGCACCTGCCAGCCGGGAGGCCAGTTGAAAGGACCTAAAAACTTTTGGCTTTGTTTTACCACCATAAGAGAATAAAATTAAACCACCCACCTGGCAGCTGAAATAGACAATTCAAGACCGAACTTGTAAAAAATCCTGCGTTCTGAAGGTTTCCTTTTTGTGAAGCTACTTCAGTGATCTGGGTCTCTTCTGTCCTCCCAAAACAGGCTCCCGCTGCATCCAGTGTCAGTCTGCATGGGACCTCCCTCCTGCCTTTCTTGTGTGCTTCTCGCAGAGCCTTTGCTTTCCCTCTCCGTCCCCGTCCCAGGACTTTCCTCTTGGGTTGCTCTGTCTTCCTGGGAGAAAGGAATACTTTGAAAAGGAGGGCTGTCCTGTCCAGGGTAACATTTTTGCCGCACACCGTGGCGTGGACGTGGGTCTCTTGCTGCCCTGCTGCTGATTGCTCAGACACAGTGCAGAGTCCCAGCTGGTTTGTGTGCATACCGGCCAGCAAGGAGGTACAGCAGTCATCTGGAAGATCTCAGAGTGGGAAGAAGGTCACACTGCAGTAGATACTTGCTTTTTTATCTGGAACTAGTGACCTTTCAGTCCAAGGACACTGAACTTGGAGTCAAGAGGTGAAGAAAAGTTCTGGTGCCTTTTGCTTTTTACTGTTAGTTTTACTGTTCACATCTTGAGGCTGTGACCCCAGTTACGTAGATCTGGATTAGATTTTTTTTTCTTGTAAAAGCAGGTAAATTGAACAACTTCTGTCTAAGGCACATGTGGACCAAGGGGACTATCCAGACAGTTAGGTTTTGAATTTTTTTTTCATTATTTTTGTTGAGTATAAAGAGCTGAAGTAGATGAAGAAATTGAAATTTTTTTTGTTCACCTTTTGAATATTCCATGATGATTTATACCTTGTTCACAAGCAAAGTGACCTTTTGAATGTGTTGAAATCCCTAGAGAACCATGGAGTTAGTAAGGATGTTTATAATGTAAAATATTCCACCTCCTACTTAAGCTCTGTACTACTTTCTGTTACTTTATTTAGAGTTTGTTGTCATTTTCTCATTGCTCATAATTAAAAAATTTTTTTAACATTCATTTTTGAGAGACAGAGTGCAAGTGGGGTTGGGGCAGAGAGAGAGAGAGACACACACACACACAGCATCTGAAGCAGGCTCCAGACTCTGAGCTGTCAGCACAGACCCCGATTTGAGGCTTTAACCCACAAGCCATGAGACCATTACTTGAGCTGAAGTCTGAGGCTTAACCAACTGAGCCACCCAGGCGCCCCTCTCATTGCCCATAATTGTCCAGAGATAGATCTGACCAGTTAGAACCACAAGATACTTAATATAAGTAAGTAGGAGCTTCTGGGAGCAGCTCTATCAGTAGATTTTATCAGTTGATTATGCTGTTGGGTGGGACAGGTGAGTAGGGAAAGAGGTACATTCAGACAGATACCTAGATGATTTCAAATTGATTAAGGCTCTGCTGTTAGAAGAGATTGCCTTCTGGGTTCTCCATCAGTTAATGTTTAAGTAAGTAATGATGAGGAGTCTCTGGAGTTTGGAAACACAGTAGGATCTGACCAGCTCCTTTTGCATGGAGCTCCAATGATACCTTTGTGTTGAGCCACCGTTTCTCACTTCTGAGCTGATAACTACTTCATCCTGGATTGAGAAAATGAGCCCTTTGTTAGCTCTAAACTTCTCTCCTAATCTGAGTCTCAGGGATGTAGTATAATTATTACTGAATTTTCTCCTTGTAAAATGATCTCTTCCTTTTTTCCCTGGTGACAAATAGTTTTTGGAAAACCCAGTGTTGGAAGGAAACTAAGGAATTAGGAAATGTTGCTAAAAATGTCAGTCCCTTTTCGCTCATGTCTGCAAAGGCCACCGGTGTGATTTTCTCAGCTCTTGTTTCTAGATTCCCTTCATTAGGTTTAACGTTTCACACTTGTTCATATCAAATTGTGCTGGAGTGCTGGGATCTGTTTTAGGGACTCGCTGAACTCTTGTAAGATTTATGACATTATGTTTTCCATATTTAGGGGATTAGCAAGTGATCATTTTGAGGGTCAATTTACTTTTCAGAGTCCCTGAGTAAGTTACATACACATTGATGTTAAGTAGCTGTTGTGGGGAGGAGGGAAAATGATAGTTTAGGGGAATATTAACTATTCTAATTTGTGCTGATAAACTTCACTTATCAATATAACTTATATTTGGCTGCATGCATCTGACACTTTTCATCTTGCCTCATGTGTTTCCATTTTTTTTCTTTCTCAGTAGACTAGCTTGTGTCCCCTGCCCACCTCATCCTTTTGTCCATAGCATTCATCCTCACCCCAGCCTCCCCATTTCAGTCCATCCTCTGCCCCTCTCCATTCCCCTTTTTGTTCATCCTTTGGCGGAAGGTACTGGTGGCTCAGCCTGCATGCCGCTCTCTCTCCTCTTGTGCTGGCATGTCATGGTGGCACTGTTGTGTTCTCTTCCTCTTCCTTTTTACTAACAGACGCAGACCAAACTGGAGCATGCCCGCATTAAGGAGCTTGAACAGAGCCTGCTCTTTGAAAAGACCAAAGCTGACAAACTCCAGAGGGAGTTAGAAGACACTAGGGTAATGGTTTTCACTGTTTAATGAAGCAGATCCATGTGTGTCCGTGGTGATGCCTCGGGGGGCGTGCCTTGCACTTGGCCTAAGCCTTGACCCAGTGGTTCCACCTGAGTTTGGTCTTGGTGCTGTTCAGGTGTTTGTGAGCTTAGGCTGATGGGTAGGCACACGTGTTTCATATTGAATCCTTTGTCAAGGTAAAGTTAACCTTTGGTTAACTCAGCCAAAATCAAGATCAGAAACTCTACAACTGTATGGACTGCATAGATGTCCACAACCACATTTGAGGCTCTTTGTATTAATACCTTGAAATACGTTTCTCCAGTTTGCCACGAGCAGTCAATTGTCCTCTTGTTCTCATATTCCCAGTGACAGGGTTTTCTGAATAATTTTTTGCTATTGTTGTTTTATTTTCCCTCTCTTTTCCTGCCTTCTTCCCTGACCTTTTGGGGGAAATCAAAACACTGGCTCTTTTGAATGAGAGTTAAGGACTTTCATCCCAGTGACCTTTTTTCTTGATACCTGGTATGGCTTTGAATTTCCCTCCTTTCTGTCACCAGTAGGTGAAATTCTTAGCAAGCAGGAGGGAAAAATGTGCTCGGAACAGCATGGCTTCATACAACCCCAGCACGCTGTCTTTGGCCCTCAGAGCCAATGCATTAATCATGCTTTCACTTATTTATGTATTAAAGCACCTATGTAGTGCTTACTTGGGGCTGGGCACTATTCTGAACACTGCACCAGTATTAACTTACTTGGTCTCATCTCAGTCCCAGGGGGGATGGTAGTATCGTCCCCATTTTACAGATGAGGATACTGAGGTATGGAGAGATTAAATAATTTGCCCAAAGTTACACAGCTAATAGTAATAGTGGAGCTAGGATTTGTATCTAGAGCGTTTATCCCCAAAGTCTGTGCTCGTAACCACCATAGGATGGAGTTTGTCTATTATGGAGGCAGTTTTGTGCTGATATATTTGAGAAATAATCCAAGACATTTACATATAAGAGGACCTGTATTGTGTGTGTGTATACACACACACACACACACATATGTATACACACACCTTTTAAATTATGAATTTGACTGTCAAGGCTAAATTGGTCCAGATCCTTAACTTTAAAATTTCAAAAACTGTCTCTGATCAGATTTGGCATACTGATTTTCTTCTTTTCAATTATTAGTATTTGAGGAAATTTCTTTCTCTGAGAAATCATTGATCTAAAAATTTAGATAATTGGGTGATTTTTCTTCTCTAAATTATAAGTTTTTGTTTCTTAAGAAGAAAGAAAATGTTCTCCGTTGGCCTCCAAAGTAAAGGTACTGCCTTTGTATTTGGTAAGAAAAATATCATGGTAGTTTGGTGTTGTTTCTTCATTACCTGAGAGCCAGAGATTTGATCTGGGAAATACAAGGGACTGATGATAACATTGGGCTCCGTAAGTGAGAATGGCTGTTGTACCTTATTTTGTGGCAAATTATGTATCTATCTATATGTTTTTTAGCCCGTGAATTCTTCCCATGTAGATAAGTTAGCAAACAACTTGGATAGATTTTGTGTGTGTGTGTGTGTGTGCTGTGGATAACAAGATATCCATTACAGAATGGTTTATCCAGTTATTTCAGGTTCAACCCATTTTCTTTCTATAAAGAGTCATGTCTTCTATTGAGCCTCACACTCTTTTTAAAAATTTTTTTTAGTATCTTTATTTTATTTTGAGAGACAGAGACAGAGAGTGAGCGGGGGAGGGGCAGAGAGAGAGGGAGACACAGAACCTGAAGCAGGCTCCAGGCTCCAGGCTCTGTGCTGGAGAGCCCACGGACTGTGAGATCATGACCTGAGCTGAAGTTGGCACTTAACCAACCAAGCCCCATGAGCCTCACTCTTGCTTGGCCAAGTGTGAAGCCAACCAATGAGCCTCTTGAGTTTCTTATCACCTGCCTTCCTTTTAGGAAGTGCTCTAGAATTCCTCTAATCCAGTAAGGCCAGTTTATAAGCAGTGTGCTTGCTGTTGTGGAGACAGAAGCCAGAATAAGAAACAATACCTGACTTTTATAGCCTGACCCTGGTGCAAGAGGCAGACTCGTGGTTTTGCCTGAGGGCAGACTTGGGGGAAATAAAATAAAAAACAAAAGTGCTGTGAAAATACTATAGGGTAATCACACTATTATTTTAATTTATTTTTTACTTGATAATTCTCAGTTTGTTTTATAGTGACTAATTTACAGACTCTGATCCTATTGGATTTATTTATGTTCATGACCGTGTAGCATTGGGGTTTATTAATGTTTTGTACCTTATTTTGTGGCAACAATTCTCGGGCACCCTGCCCTACTCCCTGCTCCACAAACAAGTATATAAATAAATTAACCTCTTTTAGCTGGAGCATCCAAAACCTTGAAGCATAACACTTAACAGTCAGCTTTGGAATATTACTGACTGACGCAGTTTTTTGGAGAACCAATTGGTTTCTTTTCCTAGTCTTTGTGGACATCTTAGTGTTTCTCCATATCACAGCCCGTGGGTGGGCAGAGAAAGTGAAGGAAGCATATCAGTTACTTTCTGTTCCAGTAAAAGGCAATGAGGAAGAGGAGCCTTCAACCTGGAGGAGTTTTAATGCTTAAAGTTTGTTTTTAAATCATTCATGTTCCCTTCTTTTTCCCAGGTTAGTCCAATAATTGATTTTTATGCCTGAAGCTATCATTTCCCACATATTTTGTGTATTACCCTGACTGGCTAACAGGTATCAGAGGGAAATAATTTCCCAAGAGTAAAAGGACACAGTTAGTTAAGAAAGTGTTTTTCATAGTCCTGGGGTGTTTGTTTAAAAAAAGCAATTTCTTGGGTGTTATCCCAGAGCTCAAATGGAATCAAAACATGGGAGAGTAACTGGGGGCCTGCCTTTTAGATATATATCCCAGGAGACTGATTTGCATACTAAAGTCTAAGAACCACTGGGTTAGGGGAACAAGATATGTACGTTAAATGCCAAATAGAATTATAAAATCTAAAAGGTGTAATCTCTAAAGATTCTTGTATATAATTTCAGGTAAGTTATAGTTCTGATTTTGTCTTCCTAAGAAAAAAGGTTAATGAATTATTTCTTCGTTATCCAGCTGAAGCTTTTATTCTAAAGCTGATGTGGTATTAATTGAAACATTTGATAGGTAATTTCTTTTTATATCAATCACAGTCAACAGAAGTATAATACCAACCACATATATGTAATTGAAAATTCTGTGCTTCCCACGTGAACATAGTTTTTAGTAGATAAAAAGAAACAAAATTAATATATTTTAAACTGGTATATCCAAAGTAATATCATTTCATTATGTAATCAGTATAAAAATTAACAAGGTGTTTTCCATTCTTTTTTCCCCCTGAATCTTCAGTATCTGTGTATTTCACACTTCCAGCCCCTGTCACATTTCAAGTGCTCAGTAGCCACGTGGGCTACTATACCGGACAGCACAGATCTTTAAAATCAGCTGCATCAGATAGATGAGCATTTATACATCCTGGGTGAAGCAGAGTAGGGAAAAAACAGGTAAAATGAGGAGGATTCTTTCTTCCAGCAGGCAGATATATACAGAGAAACTTGAAAGCTACTGTTCCCCTCAACTATCAGTTGATGGGCACTTCTCTAAAGTTTTAGAGGAAAAAGAAATCATTTTGGAGGAAGTTAAATTCCATATGTTTTCAATTCCTTGAGCATCTCAAGATGGTGGAAGTTTGCCCAAGATGATGACTTTGGAGCTCTCAGAATTGGGCTTCCTCCATAACGGCTAGAGGTGGGTGAGCACAGAAGGGCTCACTGTAGCTCACTGCTGCCTGAGGTGGGGAGTTATTAAAGATCTTCAAGGTTAAAGGAAATTACTGGTGATGGGTTATTTACATGCTTTGTTTCTCTTTGGGCTGCGGTTACTAGGTGGCTACAGTGTCAGAAAAGTCCCGTATAATGGAGCTAGAAAAAGAGCTAGCGCTGAGAGTACAGGAGGTGGCTGAGCTGCGGAGGAGACTGGAGTCCCACAAGCCTGCCGGGGACGTTGACATGTCACTCTCCCTTTTGCAAGAGATAAGTTCTTTGCAAGAAAAATTAGAAGCTGCTCATGCTGACCACCAGAGAGAAATCACTTTCCTGAAGGAGCATTTTGGAGCCTGTGAAGAAACACATCAGAAGGAGACAAAGGCTCTTCAGGCTGCCACAGAGAAGCTTTCCAAGGAGAACGAGTCCTTGAAAAGCAAGCTCGATCATGCCAACAAGGAGAATTCTGATGTGATAGCCCTGTGGAAGTCCAAGCTGGAGACCGCCATCGCGTCCCACCAGCAGGCGATGGAGGAGCTGAAGGTGTCCTTCAGCAAGGGGGTTGGAACGGAGACAGCAGAGTTTGCAGAGTTAAAAACACAAGTGGAGAAGATGAGACTAGATTATCAGCACGAAATAGAAAATCTGCAGAGTAAACAAGACTCTGAAAGGTCTGCTCACGCTAAAGAGATAGAAGCCCTAAGGGGTAAGCTGATGGCGGTCATCAAAGAGAAGGAGAGCAGCCTAGAAGCCGTCAAGGCGAAACTGGACAAAGCAGAAGACCAGCACCTAGTAGAAATGGAGGACACCTTAAACAAGTTGCAGGAAGCTGAAATAAAGGTAAAGGAGCTAGAGGTGCTACAAGCCAAGTGCAGTGAACAAACCAAGGTTATTGATAATTTTACATCACAGCTCAAGGCTACCGAAGAAAAGCTCTTGGATCTCGATGCACTTCGGAAAGCCAGTTCCGAAGGTAAATCGGAAATCGAGAAACTTAGACAGCAGCTTGAGGCAGCTGAGAAACAGATTACAAATTTAGAGATTGAAAAGAATACTGAAAGTGGCAAGGTTTGTATTGGCGTCCTCCATCCTTTTATTTTCCATTTGTCCGTCTCACTTTGCATTGTTTGTTACTTTTGAGTGGAGCCCATTCATCTTCCAAATTCTCCATTTTATTATAGCAGATTGCTTGGTGATAGCAAATTTCCCAGTTACGTGTAGTATCCTCTGAGTATCTTGAGTGTGGTTTCTTCTGAGAAGATTAGAGAAAACACTGGCTCAACTACGTGAATTTATTTTGGCTTCCTGGTTATCTAGATCCTTTACGACTTGGTCCCTGGGCCATGCTGTGTGACCTCCTGTTGCTTGGTTCTAGTCTGTAGTCTTTTTAAAACAGAGAATTCCCTAAAGCGATGGTGTTAAGATAAATAAATGAACATAAAGGAAAGAAATTTATAAGATCATCTCCTCCCTTGCCAATTACATAATTGTTTTGTCCATAAGGTAATATATAAAAATAGACTGTGGACCCTGAGGCTTGACTTTGACTTTGTAAATCAACACTCTATGATGAATAATATTCACGGCAAAATAAGGTTAAGAGTCTGGAGACCTTTGCATCGCTACTTCTGTCTCCTTGGAGCTTTTCCTATGTCACAGTCTCGTGTTCTATTCCCTACCTTCTTTTTTTTTAAATTTTTTAATAGTTTATTTTTGAGACAGAGAGAGACAGAACATGAGCAGGGGAGGGGCTGAGAGAGAGGGAGACACAGAATCTGAAACAGGCTCCAGGCTCTGAACTGCCAGCACAGAACCCGATGCGGGGCTCAAACACACGAACCGCGAGATCGTGACCTGAGCCCAAGTCAGACACTTAACTGACTCAGCCACCCAAGCGCCCCCTTTTTAAAATTTTTTTAAAGTTTATTTATTTATTTTGAGAGGGAGATAGTGAGTGGGGGAGGGACAGAGAGAGGAAAGAGAGAATCCCGAGAAGGTTCCCCATTGTCAGTGTGAAACCGGATGTGGGGCTCAAACCCACGAACTATGGGATCATGACCTGTGCCAAAACCAAGAGTTGGATGCTTAACCAACTCAATCACCCAGCCTCCCTCTTCCCTTCTGGTCTTTTGAAAGAAGACCAGACAAGTATGCTTTTGGTCAAGGTGTAGGAAATTCTATGGAACGTTTGTCAGCTACATTCCTTTCTCATTAGCCTTGTCAAATATTACCTTGACTCTTTGAGGAATGAATGCTTTTTCCCAGCCCTCTTGCCACTGTTGGGATTACTGGTATTGATGAGGAATGCTGTGAGCTTTTTGCAGAGGAAACTGCTTTGTTAGCAAAGGGTTGTAAAGTTAAACCAGGAGATGTGAAGACAGACAGAAGGAAAAGTCACTAAGTAACATTAGTTGAAGATAACAAGCTAATTACAAGAAATTTTTCTCAACTGTCCTCACTTGGATCTGAAATACCAATCAATACACAAAAATGAATTCGTAGAGCAGTATGTAAATAAGCGTTGGTCAACTGTTTTTATATCAAGATGTAATGAAAACCAGTTTCTCATAACAGTTGTACAGTGCATTAAAAAATTTTTTTAATGTTGAAATACTTTAAGGATATACAAAGATATAGAAAGTAACACAGACCACATATATCCATTATTCCTAATTTATGGATTTTAAAGTCCAGAAAATGAAATTGCTTAACTTACTCATTTGGAAAGTAAGTGTCTGTACTTTAGATCATGCCAATATTCCAAATTTTGGTATAGAAAAATACTCTTGTTTTGACTATTTTAAAATAGCCAGTAGATTGTGCTATCTAGAAACAGATTGTGTGAAAAGTGCTTAGCTTCTTAGAGTTAACAACAAAACAACAACTACAACCATTTTTTTACCCATGCCTTTATTCCTTTCAGATTTGTTTAGTTGTGTTTGTTTCTCATATGTTTTTTAGATTTGTTTTATTTTTTCTTTCTCATCATTCTTTTTTATTTCCTTCTGTTCATTTACTCCTGTGCCACGTAACTGTGTACGGTAGGCTAGTAGCATTACCAAAGAGCTGCAGGGGAAAGAGCTAACCCTAAATAACCTTCAGAAAAACTTGAGTGAAGTCAGTCAAGTGAAAGAGGCTTTGGAGAAAGAACTTCAGATTTTGGTAAGTACCTGTTGGGAATCTGACTCTCAGGTTTCTGGCCATTTGAATGGCTCCTGTTTTAAAAACAAAAATCTCCGTGACAAAGTTTTGTACCTATTTCCTTCCTCTTTCAAAGTATTGATTTAATTTGAGTGAATTAGTCATTGGCTGATGACCTAAAATGGAATGGGCTCAAACCCAAATTAGCAATAAAAGGTAGGTATTACTTTTTCCTTTTTAAAATCTATCCTTTGCTTCTGATAAATGGGTTGCTTTGGCATATTATTGACTGCTTAGTTTTACTAAACACAGGGACCTTCCAAGTTACACACCCAATGCATTAGCTTTCATTTATAACAAGGTCTTGAATGTGCCTTTTACTTTCCAGAGAGCTGTCCTGGAGCCCAGGCACCCTCTGTTAGCAAGGCAGGGCACCGTCTAACTCTACGAATTCAGAGAATCATCTCTTGAAACTCTGTTCATTCTACCTCAGGAAATTACAGTTCTTGTCACATAGATCCTCTTGCCTTAATTCCAAGTTGTAAGACTTTTTTTTTCCTTAACTTTTTCTTACCTTTTTCTCAATTGTTCTTCCTGCATCAGAAACTGAACTTACAAGGCGCCTAGGTGGCTCAGTCGCTTGGGCCTCAGACTCTTGATCTCGGCCTAGGTCACAATCTTGTGGTTCGTGAGTTCAGGCTCCACATCAGGCCCTGCACTCAGTGTTTGTCTCCCTCCCTCTCTCTCTCTCTATGCCCCTCTTCTGCTCACACTTTATCTCCCTCTCTCTCTCTCTGCTCCTCTTCTGCTCACACTTTGTCTCCCTCTCTCTTTCTCTGCTCCTCTTCTGCTCACACTTTGTCTCCCTCTCTCTAAATAAATAAATAAACATTAAAAACAACAACCCTGAATTTAGTCAAAGCCAACAACCATAAGGACACATCACAGGACAGGGAAGTTGTAGGTTATGGAGAAACTGGGTAAGAGGAGCAGGAGTCCAGAGAGGACGGTTGTCCGAGATCCTCCATGTGCTGCCCTCTTCCCACTGACTACACTTCTGTGCTAGTCCCAGCGCTGAAGGGGTGTTTGCTTTTTTTTTTTAATGCCAATATTACAGATTTCTACTTCTTCAAATGTTAAATATACAGTGCACTGTTCATTATGGTAGCTGCAGTTCACATATGGCTATTTAAATTAAAAATGAAGTTCTTCAATTGTACTAGCCACGTTGTAAGTGCTTAATAGCCACATGTGGCTAGTAGCTGCCATACTGAATAGTGCAGTACAGAATATTTCCATCATGGAGGACAGTTCTATTGGACAGTATTTTAGCTACTTTGTTGAGAACAAGTTGGCCTGGGAATGACAATTTTCTAATATGATGGCCTTTAAGAAAATGTGTTTTGAGTTTCATACCATTTCTCTGCCCTCTTCCCCAAACTTTCAGGGTGCTTTACTATTTTTTTGTAAGTTAGCCTATCCCTGTATATACTAAAGTCTGGATTTGGGAATAACACAGGTAGACGTGTGGGCTTTGGTGGGCTTGTGTGGTTCATGTGCCCATTTTAAAAATAATCCTACAAATATCATATGTTTGCACATATAGGAGGATTAGGAGGAACTTAACTGAGGAACAAGGGGGAGGAGAAGGGGGGAAATGGTGGGGGAAAGGGAGAGAGGCAAACAATGAAAGACTATTGAATGCTGACAAAACATGAG